TATATATAGAGGGCCTGTACTACTGTTGAACCTTGCTTTATATCCGCTCTGGTCTACCATTGAGCACTCTGCTGGTAATACTTGAGATACGTTCCATAATTTATTTCCGTTTTATATATATATAATATATATATATATATATATATCTATATATAAAATGTTTAATTTTATCATGGATGATTATATAAATCTCGTTTGATATATAAGATAGATTAACGTATTGCATGAACGTATTTTTCTTTATCTTATCATTTATGTTACACATTCATTTTGTCAGCTGAGCATGTCGTTTTAAAACAATTGGTAATCTATTGTTGTAATATTCATAACTGTGTATGTTTATGCCTGTCCGTCTGTCTGCTGCATTTTGTATACAATTTTGTGTATTACTACCACTATCACTATCACCGTTCACCATCATCATCATCATCGTCATCATCATTATCATCATCACTATCATCAACATGAAAACTACCACCACCACCACCACACCACCACCAAAATAAAAAAAAAATCTTAACAACACATTAATATTTTAATTACACCTAAGATTAATCGATAAACAGAACTATGCATGCTTCAACTATATATGCATTTAATAGTAAGAGAAGAAATAAACGACATAAATTGATTAGCAAATTATTTTTGAATAATTTCGTCAACCATCATTGTTCACATCGCATTATAATCTTCAGTACTAACAAAGTACGAGCACATTCGTTACGTTTACTATATGAATAACACATCGAATATCAATAATTGACAATGTGAGAAACTGAATTGGTTAGTAGTTAAAGCTGTACTTGAGGAAAATGCTAACATACATATTTAAATATTAGGTATTGCTTATATCATTATACCTTATATTTTGAGTAAATTCATGAAATAGTTACTACAACAAGGAACCGATACCGATACCGGTATATAAATACATCAATCATAAATGAAATGTAATGTAATGCAGTTTAATATCAAGTTTCGAATCAAATATCATGATGTTAATACAAATCTAAATGTTTTAGGAAATGTTCCTAACAAAACTTAAAAGCTCTAAAAGAACTTAATTTGGTTTTTTAATATTGGAATTTTAGAAAAAAAACCTTATGGTAAGGCCAAATATTAGTAATTAATGAATCTTCACAAATCATACCAAAAATAGCAACAATATCACATAAAACACGAAGAGCGTAACACTCAATGACATCTAAGACGAATCAAAAATCATATATATTATATTGTAGATATATAGAACAGTGACACTAATATAAATAATAATGAATAATAAGAAAACAGGCACTTAGGCATATGTGTCAAATACCATAAAGCAAAATAGGAAATATGTAAATTGATACATAGGGCTCCTGTATATAATCAAAGAACTTAAATAGCAGAAGAATGAGCTCTTCACGTAGTTTGATGGTACGTCCGCCCTCCCGCGAACGGAGTAATTTACCTGCAATTTGACGGAGTGGAGAAACTACAGAAAACAAACGAACTACAGCAGTGTCCTTGATTATAGCGGTGCCTTTCGGATGGAGGAAAATTGCTCTCATGTACTTTCTGCTCTATCTTTTTTATTTATTATCTTTGATAAAATACACTCGAAACCCAATCCTGTTTAGGGGAGACCTATTAAGAGGACAATTTTGTTTGGTCCCGAAGGTGTTCCCTTAATAAGGCTTTTACTGTGCTATCATAACAGATGTTAGCTAAATAATAAGTTGACCATAATTGACTTCTGTAATTTTACTACTAGACTAATCAACTGGTTACGGTGCTATCAAGTAAAAGTGTATACATCATATTATATTGTAGCTATACAGAACAATGACTATATAATATTAAAATAAATGAAGAAAATGAAAATAGGCATTTAGACCTGTGTGAATAATACTAAAATAGGAATTTAGGCCATGTGTCAAATATCATATAGCAAAATACGAACTAACCGCATATTTGGAAAAAGGCAATATCTGCAAAATCCAGGTTTTGAGAAAATGAGGAAAATGCGTTTGATTTTAGCCAAAGAAAAGAACAAATGATATTCAATTCTTTTAAGTAAATTTTAAAAAACTCTATTATTAAAAAAATTGTCATATACTTTCTACTGATTATTTTAAATTTTGGGGGGGGGGGGGGTCAAAAAGCAGATAATGCCTTTTTCGGATTATTTTTGCCTATAGATAGGAATTAATAATTTAACACTTGGGCATTATCTGCAATAGTGTTTAAAATTATCGATGAATTTCAAAATTTGTGCATGAGTATTTTAAATGTATGTCGCTGTAATTAAAAATAAAAAACAATTTGTCTTGAAAACATATTCTAAATTTGATGTAAAAATAAAAAAATTAGTGTTTTGAAAATGTACTCGCATTGAAAATTATAATTTCTTTATCGAAATGCTTAACAAATGTTTTGTAAGGTATACAAAATAAACCAATAAAGAATAAAATAGATGGAATGGGTTTTATATATTTTAAGCCTGGTGGAGCTTATGTGGGTTAGCTTCCGGCCGGGGGAGGGGTTTGGGGGCGGTGTTGAGGTTCGGTTTCGGGTTTTATATGTAAGGTAAATTTGGATGCAAATTGAAAAGTTATCTATGACATGTTTTACCGTTATGTTTCTAATCTAATGCCACACCAAGCTGTTCCGATTATCTTCATAATCACTATCATCATCATTATGGTCACTGGATAATAATGCTACTAAAATGATATTCTTAAATTCTCATGAATTTTACAGACACCAAATACATATTTAGAGCAACTCTTTTATAAAACAATTCAAATTAATAATTTCAAATATGTAAACTTAAAAACAAAGGATACATTATAATATTTTGTAAGGTATCACATTAGGTATTATATGTTTCATCCTCACTGAACGATAAATATAGACATTCATATAGCGTTTTTTTGCCAATGAATACAATGATATGTGGACTATGAACTCGATCAATAATTAAGATGGCAAAATATAATTTACTTAAACTTACAAAGTAATATTTATATTGCTTATGGATTGTTAATATTAGGTTTTTATTAAATTAGTAGAAAAACATATTTAGTAATACACATTAAATAGAACAAAAGTATTACATGTAAAAAAGATGCACAGAATTTCGCATTAAAATTAATATTTATAATAATTACACGTTAAAAAGCTCCTAAATAAGCTGTAACTTGTGTCAAAGTAAAAGAAATCATTAGAATGATATAAAGTTTCGAAAAGGTTATAAGAAAAACATTGTAAATAATTCCATTTTTTCGAATTAATCTTCAGAACATGGACCTATAATTAATAGGATGCTCAGAATAAAGTTGGAACAAATAGGTATTATCTTAGAGGAGATCTAATTAATATTTATCACATTGGCACCTGATTGAATAACTGCTTCCTGCCTGTGTGAAGTCAACCGTTCGAAGCTAATTGTGGCCTTTAGTGTAGTCATGGACCTATTTGATAGGTCCATGGTGTAGTTAATGCCTCATTCCAAATCATTTGTAGTGGTATGTGTAGATAATGCCCATTTAAAAAAATAAATATCACATTTAGAGTAATACTTTTGGCTTTCTAGTAAATTAAGGTGATAGATTATACCCTCAGGAGTCATTTAAGACAACAATCTCAATTTTGAAAAAAAATGTAGTTAATGCCTTTTTCTGAATCAGGGCAGTATAGCGCTCCTCTGTTTATTACAATCGTGAAATCATTTTCCTTCTTAAAGGACTCGTACATAATGAAAACATAACTAAGCAGGAAGTTAAGGCAGTTAATGAACGAAAGTACAAATACTGTGCAACAAAACTTTGCAATATCCATAAAAAAAAAAAAACCCCCAAAAAAAAAAAAAAAAAACAAAAAAAAACCAAAACACTACAATGGCAGAACGGGGCACCTAGAAATAATCAAAAGGGTTACGATAACCAAAGATTATCATGTATTAAAATGATAAAATTTATAGTTCCCTGCATCGCTTTTTCGTCTAAGATTGTTAATACCAATATATATGGATTTTTAAAATTATTAGTAAACTCTAAAAGTAATTGAATAAGCCTTAACGTTTGCAACACATGAAATTTCTGACAAGTGGCAATGGACACCGGCATTCCCTGGCACCACCCCGTCGCAATTTACGGTACGTAATTATAGGAGTAACGTAAATAATGCACACGTAACTAAAATACAATATTTTACTAGAGTATAATAATTAGTACAGTGCTGAAGATACAGAATGCATTATTGTCCAATGATTAGAAGTGCGTGAATCATTAACACTTTAATTTAACAATGTAGTTTAACTAAGTTTAAAGGTCATTAGAAACGTATTGATTTATATCCTAATCCTGATGTGTAAATAGTTACATGTCATAGATGTCTTCAGTGGTTACATGTCTTCGATAATTACACGGTTTCTTTTATAAGTCACACTGCTTACAGTAGCGACGCTACTATGGTGCTTTACCCGGTTGTTAAATCTTTTTTTGATTGTCTGCCGCACCTAAAATACAAAAATTACAATTAAAATACAGTAGGATTATTTTTTAACGAAAATCTTTACAAAGCTTGAAAAAAATTGTTGTTTGAAAAATATGCTTACATAGATAGTAAGTTTTTTAAAGGTTTTTGCTAATACTGGTTACAAAGATGTTTTCGTCAGGTAAACTGAATACAATATCTTTTCGTCAGTTACAATTTCAACATAAAGTAATTAAACCGTATAGATTATGATAGTAAAAAAATTAGCTTTCGTCAGTTCATCTGCAATAGTTTACAAAACATTTAAAGCAACATGTAATCACCTCTTTGCTGAATACGCACTGCGAGAGCCACACGAAGAATCCTTGCATGGAATTCAAGACAACATAGATGTATTCCACCACTTTCCAATCACAAAAAACGATGATGACACCAAAAATCCATGGAAGTCCCACGGCTGGGGCAAGGAGCAATATACCATGAAACATATTCCTGTTAACAAAAATGAAAAATATGCTCACTAAATATTCATGGGAAACAATTATTATATCGACAGCACACTTATTGACAGTCCTCTATCACCTGAAACGGATCACAATATTATACTCTCGGGTGATATAATTCAGAGCTGTCACATCAGAGTGTATAACTCCGCCCTGTGCCTAAATACTGAACAGTAAACAGTCTGTGTATTGGCGATTTCTTTCCTTTTTAAAACATTAATTCAGCAGTAACTCGCCAATTACAGGATAAATCAAGTCTTTAAATAAGGCTTAGGGAGCGGCGTTGTTTTCTGTCATGAGAAAAAATACTGCTGTGACTGCGATTGAAGCCGAGTTCTACGATTAGAAGCCAAGCATCGTAACCATTAGGCTACTGAACTCCACTCCACTTTATGCTCGAGATTGAAAGAAAATCAAATTTCCATGACATTGACCTTGTTTTTTGACCACTTCTTCACAAAATTTAATCATGCGTTTTTTTTTTTTTGTTATTATGTACTATTCAACTAAACTTTATAATGATTAATTTCATAGTTTCTGCGTAATCTTGCTAGCGGACAAACAGACAGAGAATAATCAAGAGGAATTATTATTTACTTATGATCGGCATTGGCCAATAATCGAAGAATTGTTCGGAAAAGAATAAGGTAGGTGATCCTCGGGTTTTAATATATTTTTGTAGGCTGCAAGACATACCGTCGGACCCGCAAATTGCCCGCCTGTGATGGGTTATTTTAAATAGTACATTGACATAAATATTCTTGTAAAGAATATTTTTTTGTTATAACTATTTGGATTTGTTAAAAATATTTGGTTTTATTGTAATGCAGAAATGATTTTTTTTCTAACCTGATTCTAATGAAGCTTTGTATTTCTTCTTTAGATTGGTCCGGTATTTTAGATTTCTCGAACGTTACGTAGCCAATAACACACAACTGTACGATGATAATCTATAATAGAATGTTACGTTTTAAATGAAAAGTAAGCAAACGGTATGTTGGAAAACCTCTCATAACTGAAAAAAGTACAATCCAGCCTAGTATGCGGATATTATAGTAATAAATCTTTCAAGATGTTGGTAATATATGAAAACGAACTGTAGGATGAAAATCTTTATAAATGATTTATCTTTTTAGTATTGTGCACAGAAGCTGGAATACAGCACAATTGATAATAGAAAACATTGAAAGCCTATCGAATCCAGAAAAAATTAACCATTAATATCTTTAACCTGGCTAAAAAACAAATTGTTTATTTTTTTTCCCAACCAGGTTATCATGCTTTCTAGATGTAATGTATTAAAGGTTTGTGTTAGTAAGTTGAAAAGAGAAACATTACCAGATTGGTGAGGCAGACTATCAGAATGAAACTCCAAATGGTACCAGATTCAGTATCTAACCAGCACCTACAATTAATATAATTTAAAAAGTAGAAATAACGGTGTTTACTGTTTTCGTTAAAATAGTTCCGAGTAGTTCAGCACTCAGCTGACATGACAACTGATGTGCTACTCATTGCAATCAGTTGTGGCCCCAGAGATTTGCCGAAAGGGAATTAATTAAATCTGACATAGAGTCCAGACTAAAGAGCTGCGTACATCAGAGTAAATGGTTGAAACTGTGCTTGAAGACCACAATATTAGAAATTGAAATACTTTGGTAGGATTTTCTAAATAATGCTTATATAGTCTGAGGACTTCAAGTGTTTAACGACAACTGGAGGTCCGACGGTGAAACATTTTCCTCATTGACTCCGCTGGCGCATTCATTGCGACTTAATAAAGTATTTATTGGAGTCAGGGAAACTATCCCCAAGCCCCACATGTTCCCTTAACAATTATATCTATGGTTTAACGCAAACACATTTGCTACTGCCAATATATATATTTACTTCCAATAATAACAAATATAAAATTAAAAAGGTCGTACAGGGGCAGTCACGAATAAGCAAAAGTTAAAAAAGATAGTGCTGCTTCATTTCTTTGTCAACAAACTCAGCACCAATACAATAATATACTTTAGGAATTATGCATAGGCCTAGCCACTAAAATATTTAAAAATAGTATTTAGTCAAAGAATCTTCAAAAATAAATATTTAAAAAATGAATAGTACGGTAATTTATGCCTAAGTATAAAAGTAACAAATTAATTTGATTATTTGTCGGCTGAGCTTTGCTGCTCTTATACTAGTATTCTGTAACGGTAACATTCTTTCTTATTCTTAATCCTATTACTACAGTATAGTGTTAATAAGGTTTATATATGTAGTAGTAATATATATATATATATATACATATATATATATATATATATATGTGTGTATATGTATATATGAATATGTGTGTATACTGTCTCTTATACACATCTAGATGTGTATAAGAGACAGGCCTTATATATATATATATATATATATTGAATCTTCTGTGGTTTAAATACTCCTAGTTGAGCGGACGATGTATAAAAATTGTGTATAATTGATTTTGGAACAGGGTGCTTCGATATATTTTTGCACAGAACTTAGGTCTACGATGCAATAGTTTTACAAAAGATACACAATCAAAGTAATAAGTATGATTTAATGTCCCTGTACTGCAGTAAATCTTAAAATTACAGTCCTTTTGTAGTGAACAAAAATATGTTTACTTATCAGATGCGTAGTTTTCTCTTGTTATACCAGCAGTCACTGCAACAACAATGACAGGTCCAATCCATCCTATGAACCGACAGTAAGTGAAGCGCTTTGAATGATCAGCAAACGGACGTTTGATCTTCATGAATAAATCCGTTGATATAATCAACATCCAGGAGAAAGCTGCCAAAAGACTGTAGTGCAGAAAAGCTGCAAGGACACTACATGCGATCTGTGAGGAAACAATATCGACGGTTTATTTTTAGATGTTAAATTGTTACCGTACTTCCAGGACGTTATTTGCTTTTTCAGCAGTAGTTAGAAAAGCCATTGTTTTTGTTATTATTTTTTTTCTTTTTTTCTTCCACGTCGTTTTTCCTATCTTTCTGCACTTGCGTTTTCCGCCCGGCACTTTGGTTACTTTCCATTCTTGGATCTTTCCATTCTTTGTCGAAGCATAGACCATTATATCAAGGATGTGCCTCCTAATATTTAGTGTCTAGAGTGGGGTGTGTTGTGAGGGCCAATTAAAGTGGCTTAAGAGCAAACACTCTACACCAGATATTTCAAAAACGGGTAAACTGATCTGAATGAAACTTTGAGAAAGTTTAACTTGTCAAGTTACATGGAAGAAAGTATTACGTTTTTGTGACGATCTAGTTTAAATCACGACCTCCAGATAAGTAGCCTAATGTCTTAACCACCCAAGTTACTTGAGGATTTTTTTTGGGGGAAAAGAAATGGGAATGTACTGGACATTCAATACCGTACTTATAACACGTCAGGTAGGGCAAACATCAATTCGTATTATTTCTCCTGACGATACACAATCGGAATAGCATTGCAGTACCCGCTGCTACTTGAGAATCGGATTCACCAATAGCCACCAATCGCAAGCTCGGTTGTCTAGTAGTTAAGATATCAGGCTTGGTACCTGGAGGTCGTAGATTCAATTCCCACCCGAATCACTTGTGATTTTCTTTCGCAAATATTTGGGATTGTACTGAGCATTCAACAAGTCTGGTAGGGCAAACATTTTGTATTATTTCTCCTGACGAAAATACGCCATCGGAAAAGCATTGCAGTACCTGCTGCTACTTTTTTTTTTTTATTGTATTCATCAATAGACTACCAAGCGGAAGCTCGGTGGTCTAGTGTTTAAGACATCAGCCTAGATACCTGGAGATCGTGTGTTCGATTCCAACCCAAATCACTTCGTTGGTTTGATTCCGACCCGAATCACCTGCGAAAATTTTCCTCTTAATCAAATTGGCAGCTACTTTATGACAAGCTAAACATGGTTATTGGGCTAATCTGGAATGCATTTTTTCATTAACTACACTTATAAAATATTAGACCTGCATAGGGTACCATTTCTGTTTCTTGTAATAAATCGTGTGAGCTACAAAACATACGTTTTTAACGATGCGAATTTTTATTTCGGCATTTTAGCTTGCCCTTAACCAGGCTAGAAAAATCAAATAGACATCAGCTTCAGTTGAAGTGCGCGTGATTTATTTGCAGTCCTCTAGTCAAATTCATTTTAAGAATACGAAATGACGTGATTTCGAAGTTTTAGCTCGTTTTAAGAAAACCGGATTGTCATTTTTTTGAAGTGCCGATAAACACTGGCATTTTTGAAACATCGAATGCATTGGAATTAGAGTTCTGGTATTCATACAACCCAATGGTATTCCCATTATGAAAGACTAGCATTGCGTTTAAAAGAATCCCCAGAGTCGGACATTTTTCTATTCTATACTCGTTGAGGGTATTGGTAAAAATACGAAGACATACCGATTCTTTTGCATCAACTTCGAGTAACAAAAAGAAGCAATTGACACAAAGTAAAGCGATGACCAAGTGGCGCATGATTTTATATCTCTCAGAATTTCTTAAATCTCTGAAATACAAATAACCAAAAGTTTGATTGTTTACTACTCAACATTATTTTCAAAATAAATGATTTCCTAAACTATAAGCAGAAAGTAGGAAAATTTATACAAAACATAATATTTGAGTATCCGAGTCTATGTAAAATGATTCGCTTGCCCTGCTGCATATAAGATACAAATTACCAATGATTTTTTGATCAAATTTTTATCGGATGTTGAAAATTAAAGCTATGTCATATTTTTATTTCATGATTAATACGAACATAAAATATATAATATTTATTCAAACTTACCTGAAAATACAGATAATGACGAGAGTAATTATGAGAAACAAACTTGAAATTGATAACCCAACTGTTGTAAGCAAAGACAAAATGTCGTTCTCGTTTGTCTAGAAAATATTGTAATAGGATTAATACTGAGGTTCTTAAACAAGCGTGTATTTTTAATCCTTTACTTATATATCCATAATTTCCTATTTGTTTAGTACATACCGGTACCGGCTTCGGTTTCATCAAAATGACAAACGATGTCAGATGATCACATACACACGTCACGCCGTTCTTGACATAGTTTTCATAGACAGTTTTACAGCCTTTCATTGACCATTTACTTAAAAATATTTAAATTAATCAACGTTTGTGAACAATATTTAACGGAAATAAATATGTAAATATTGAGTCAACAAAGCATGATCAATCAATCTACAGTATTTATTCTACACCGTTTCTGTTATTTACTAACTTGCTGACATACATGTGCTTTTGTCGTTTATATATCTGTCTCTTATACACATCTTATTATTTCTCCTGACGATACACAATCGGAATAGCATTGCAGTACCCGCTGCTACTTGAGAATCGGATTCACCAATAGCCACCAATCGCAAGCTCGGTTGTCTAGTAGTTAAGATATCAGGCTTGGTACCTGGAGGTCGTAGATTCAATTCCCACCCGAATCACTTGTGATTTTCTTTCGCAAATATTTGGGATTGTACTGAGCATTCAACAAGTCTGGTAGGGCAAACATTTTGTATTATTTCTCCTGACGAAAATACGCCATCGGAAAAGCATTGCAGTACCTGCTGCTACTTTTTTTTTTTTATTGTATTCATCAATAGACTACCAAGCGGAAGCTCGGTGGTCTAGTGTTTAAGACATCAGCCTAGATACCTGGAGATCGTGTGTTCGATTCCAACCCAAATCACTTCGTTGGTTTGATTCCGACCCGAATCACCTGCGAAAATTTTCCTCTTAATCAAATTGGCAGCTACTTTATGACAAGCTAAACATGGTTATTGGGCTAATCTGGAATGCATTTTTTCATTAACTACACTTATAAAATATTAGACCTGCATAGGGTACCATTTCTGTTTCTTGTAATAAATCGTGTGAGCTAAAAAACATACGTTTTTAACGATGCGAAATTTTAAATCGGCATTTTAGCTTGCCCTTAACCAGGCTAGAAAAATCAAATAGACATCAGCTTCAGTTGAAGTGCGCGTGATTTATTTCTGTCTCTTATACACATCTAGATGTGTATAAGAGACAGAGGCTCGTGAGCCCTCATTCTTGGGGTAATATTACTACTATCCAGTTCAAGTGGGTCCTTGAGAGGCCACGACGGGTTCGGGCCCTTCTGTGCTATACATCACTTTATTAAACGCCTTGAAAACGGTAAATGTTTCTATAATTAAAAAAAAACAAAACAAATAGACCAAAATGCCACAAAATCTTCGGGGTCAGTCCAACTACGACATGGATGTTTGACAAGATTATGTAACACCTGTGTGATTTCTTGCGAAACGTAATAAATGTAAGTAATAAATGTACATTTGATTGGCTGACTTATTTGTTAAAATATTAATAGGTATGGTCCTTCCCTTCCACTGGTGCAACGACGAGTCATGGGACTGTGGGCCGAAAAAAAATCTTAGGAGCACCTTGCACATCAGTAAATATTTCTGCTCACGAAGTGACCGGGGAGGTAACCCCCATAGAAAGTGTTAAGGATGAAAAATCTTTAATTATTAGACAATGCAAAAAATATTGTGTGACTAATCCACACACATTTGCGTGCAACATATATATCAGGTCTGTGCATATGCATGTGCATATGCATGGGCATTTCATTAATGTAGCTTTGCCAATATAAATAAGTATTATCAAACAATTATTCAATCATTCGTTTCAGGGGCGGGTCCGGGACACACGGGGTCTATCTATCCCAACCCTCAAAAATGGAGAAAAAAGAGAGAAGAAAGTCCAGAAAGAAGGGAGCATGACGTCACACTGTAGGCCTACTCCAAGCCAAATTTGTTAAATGTCAGTGGTCTCCACAACTGCTAAACAAAATTCTTTCTCTATATCCGCCCCTTATGGGTGGATGGGTATATTAAGTGTAAACACCAAGGATAAACTACAAAAGTCCCCAGCATGGTTAGGACTAATCATTTATAATTAGGGCACCTCTAAGTGGCCGGAAGTGGCACTCATAGACTTAAAATGCAAGTATAATTTTCTTTTTATTTTCATTTTTAAAACAATTGGCAAATTTAGACGCACGAGAGTGGCGCACGAGAACGCATAGTCACTACGACAATGTACACCGGGAGACAATCCCCTCTTTTCCGATTAGTATATGGCGTTCTTTAACTTGCACACATGCCATAATGCACACGGGACCAACGGGTTAAATGTCTCATCCGAAAGACGGTGCGCTATCGTAATTTGCATTTCAGCCCTCCGTCTGAAACACAAAGAGAGCAGCGATTGGAATTGATTACACCACCTCCTTCCTAAGGCCTCTTCCAATTACCATCTTAAGCCGGACACTCACTGCGTCGTACGACCGTCGCACGACGTATCCACATTTGCTTCCGGCGAGCGACAGACTACGCAACGCCGTCTGCTGATTGTCAGTGGCAATCTCAACGGATCCTCATTAAAAAGACGATCCATTGAAGTCCGCGTCTTCGCGTGCGTTCTTCGTCGCGTTGCCGTCGCGTCGCCGTCGCGTACTTAAAGGTACAATCGACGATGTTGCAAGCGTTTATCATCCGAATATCCGAATTATTAGTAGGCCTATAATGTACAATAACAATGATACATATATACAAGAATTTAACGTGTTGTGTACTATTTCTAAATACATGTAAAGATATTATCTTTACATGTATTTAGAAATAGGCCTACTATTATGGATATCCATGCATTTAATTCTTTATTTATTGGCATGTTTAAGGGCGAAGGCGGATTTTAAGGTGGGTAGGGATGCAGCTGGCCGGGGCTCGTATGTTTTTGAAAATTAAAAGGAAATACATTGTAAAAAATGTCGTATTATTAGATTGCTGGGTAGTAGTAAGTAGGGGTCTATGGCTTTTTCGGGACACATTTAGAAGTGGAGGAACTAAGCGTTTCCCCGGAAAGCACACAGGCATTACATAACTGGTCAAACCTCCTTATTAAAAAGCTGGGGTATATTTGGAAGAATCCCTTCTAATAAATCTGCCATAGAATGTATTGATTGTGGGATTTTGGTCTATTTAGTTTTTCGGAAATTATTGAAAAGGTTACAATATTGTCAAGGCGTTGTAGGAGTGTGTGTAGTATTAGTAGTAATAAGGGCCCACGTTTCGCCCAGAAAGCACATGCGTTATTTAAGGCTTGGTAGTAATGTGCTAGGTAGTAGTAGGAGCCCACCCCCACTCCGAGAGCCACGAGTTACGCAACTGTGTCCAATTTTTATTAATACAAAAACATTATTATTTAACGATACCAAACACGGCAACTTTTGGCGAGTTATATATTTATTCTTATTCCATATACATTTTAGGTATATTTTGCGGTTATTTTAAAACAAATAACACATATTTATGGTTATTTATTTATTTATTCTGGTTTGAGTGACAATAGTTTTTATATGTCTAGTTTGTTGCCTGTCTAGACATTGTTTAGACACCAAAATCATATCTGTAGCTTATTTAGCTCCAATTTTAAGAACATTTTAGCTAATTTTGGAGGCCATTTAGAAAAATGGCCGCCATTTGTATACAAAGTGAAAAATCAAGTGTCAACAGGGCTTTGGGTGACCAGGAGGGATTAATTAGGATATATGGCTATGTTCACTGTTTCTAACATTCCACTCCGCCCAACTTGATTTCTAGGACTCTTTTTAAATTTTTTTTTTCCAAGTCTAATAGATAGAAATGGTGATAGTGACTGTAATGGTAATGGGAATGGTAAATACAATTTTAATGTTCATGATAATAGTAGTTTGTAGTAGTTTCAGTGGTGCAAGCACCTTTTATTCTACAACAGCACATATTAATACATAAGCGTTGAGAAATATATATATATATACATATATACATTATATAATAATACATATACATACACATACATACACACACACATATATATTATACATAAAAGTAAAAGCTGTTGTAAGGATCCCAATCTAGAAGGAAAACCCTTGTCTCGAGAGGATCCATAAAAAAGGGAAAAAAAAAACAACCGAAAAGTGAAATAAAATAACATAAATAAATAAATGAGTAAGATATTTAAATAAATAAATAAATAAATAAATAAATAAATAGATAAACAAGATAAATAAATAGGATGTACGGAAATGAACAGAATTCAATTTAGGTACAAACTTAGATAATGTAATTTTAGATTTCTTTTAAAAGATGTAAGGCTAGTAAAATTGGTAGGGTCAATTTGGAGGTTATTCCAAAACCGTGGTCCTGCAACCGTCACAAACAATTGACTTTTATTGAGCCTTACAAATGGAATGTATAGCCTGCCAGTATTTCTTAAATTATATTGAGTGGTATGGTTGTTGCTACTGAACATTAGTAATAATAGTATATTAATAGTAGATAATATAAGAATTATTATAATAGTAATAATAGTATTAGTAGTAATTACATTACATGCATTACTATAATTAATGTAATTAATAGTAATTACATTTATTATAGTAATAAAGATGTCAGTGGCTTTTCAGAAATCGACGATGGCGACCACTGTGATAGGATGATAATGATGACGACATTACTACTGTGACTGTGGCATCGAAGCCACAGTAGTTGTATCGTTATTATTTCCATCGTATTATAAATTTTATAAGGAAATTAATTTTTAATCTAACACTTTTACATTTTAATTTGATAGGTTTATTCGTAAAATAGGCGTAATCACTAACCTTGGATAGTAAACGTACAATTATCATAATTCCCTGACGAGTCCGTAGCGGTAAAAGGGAACTTGTGTGGCCCAATTCTAAGATCAACAGGAAATGTTTCATTGGGCTTAGGAAAGATGGTAGGGATATCTCCGGAGTTGTCAGTTGCATATATTTTACTTGAATAGTCAACTGACGTCGTGGCACTACCCTCATCAGTGTCAATGGTCTTGTCCGGTGGACAGTTTACAGTAGGCTTTTCTGTATCTGTAGAAAAAGTTAAATACTGTACAATGTAAGCAAATAATTATTACGCGATCGTTTTACTAATGTATAGTTATTTTATAAAAGCTCAGTAGGTCGATCAACTAATGAAATTATTTATTAAAAATATACTGATAATTCTATTCCATCTATTT